GTAGAAATATAACATTTAAAAGAATAGAAAATTTGCAAGTTTAGACAAGAAAAACAAGTTTAAAAAATACAAAATTCTCATATTTATTTTTTAAAAATAATTACAATTCCTAAATTAACTTATATAAACAAAACCAATGATTAAATAACGCAATATATTTCATACCTAATTAAACGGGGGGGAACAATAAAATAAAAGGAAAACTTATTAATCTAAATAAAAACACTTGAAAATTATCGAACTGAAACGATAGTTAAAAAAAGCACTAGCCTAAATATTAAAACCCGGAACAAGGCAAGATCAACGGAATTTTAAAACCTGATTATAAAATTTATGAATAAAAAGAATTTATTGAGTGCGAAGTTTATCGTTAAAAGGAAGAAAAAAATCAAACGTAGTGGAATCAGAAAAACAAAACTGTTTTTCTGATTCCACTACGTTTGATTTTTTTTAAAAATTTTTTTCCCCCAAGTTTTTCGTAGGCCCCTGAATTTTGTAGGCCCTAGGCACGGGCCTAGTGTGCCTAAAGGTTAATCCGGCCCTGTATGTTATTAATTTGTTTATGTTTTAAGATCCAATATTGCAGCTAGTTTTTATCATCTTTGCAAACTTGGTTCCAGAGTCATATCATTCGGACATTCCCAAACGCCTAATTATTTATACTTAATCAACTGATATTTTTGGTGTTCATAAGATAAGCGTGCTCATCCTGCATCCTGCCAATTCTCAATGTGCGACATACAAAAGCATCTGAACATAATCAAAAAAATATTTTAATTCTTTTTTCTTTCTTTTTGAATAATGAAAAAATGGAAATTTCAAATTGCTTATTTAGGCTTTTTGACACGTCCGATCTTAATCAATGTAATTCTTCAATCTTTTTTGTTTCGATTATTAAGGCTACTGATTTACATAGTTTTAAAAATCCCAGTATTTTTAATACAACATTATAACGATATGCGAATTTGAAATTTTAGTTATTATTTTTCATACTTTCTATGTGTGCCGATTTCATCGTGAATCCAATTTTACTTTCTAACTGTATTCTCTTAATTTTTGATGCATGGAAAATATATATTTTTTTGATTCTTTATTTATATTAGTTCCATTTAATATGCAGGTTCTATGCTTCAAATAACTTGCTACGAAATTGCTCAAAAAGGGGAAATATTTGCTTTATTAAATTATTTTTCTATTACATATATTGCTGAAATCTCACTAGAACGATAAAAATGCATCCTATGCTCCTTAAAACAGAAAGTGTTAATTTCTTATTATTATCAAATTTTTAATTACAGTTTGTGTCGATGACTCTATAGTACAGTAGGGAACCGATTATCCGGAACGATCGGGACCATCGCTATTCCGGATAACTGATTTTTCCGGTTTTCTAAATCGCTACAAAAAAAACTTTTTTTTTATTGTTAAACCCATCTTTAAAAAAAAAAAAAATTGGAAATAATCCTAAAAAGAAGAAAAAACAATGAAGTAATACACTAATGATTATTTCCAAAATGATGGTAAGGTAAACATCTTTCAAAAAAGAAAGAAAAATCCTTAAATCTTACGAGGAAAAAAAATTTTTTTTTTAAATTGGCGAGAAAATGTATCGCATTTCATTCCGGTTTTTTGGTTTTATGATTTCCGGATAACGGGTTCTGTACTGTATTTAATTATTCTTATAAAATTATTAAATGTATCAAGTTCTTAAATAGTTTAAATTCCATCACTATGATAACGGAGGGTAATAAAATAAACTATTTGATCATTAGCTTAATTTATGCATAGCTTTACATTTTGGTTTTTTATGATAAATGATTTGAAAAAAATATTAAATGCTATATTACCTGGTGTTTCAAAATAAGAGTGTTCCTACTCAATATTTTATTATAGTGTTATTCTTGTTTTATTTTGCCTACAAATTCCTTTGTATTAATTTTCAATATTTTCCTCAAGGTATCTAATTGGGAACAAAGTCCTACCGAATTTCAAGAATTGGGTTGAAAGCACATTTGCAATTAGTGTTGATAGCAAAAAATATCCTCCACAGGTGAATATGTATTTTAAATTGTAGTAAGAATAGAATGTTTAAATGTATTGCTTTATTCTCTAATTTAAAAATCTTACATTGAGTTGTGTTCATTACGTAATTGGGTACTTTTTAAATATGATATTCATATGGTCTTTTTTTTAAATTAATTATTCATGCTATTATTCTTCGATAAAGTTTTAATGCTTAGCTTTCCAGGGAAATCAATCAATAGTCCTTGCTGTCATGTTACAGATTTGTATGAAAATTTTTTTGTCCTAAAAGTCTTGACAAAAAATGACGTAAAATAATTTTTTGAGTATTTTTAGACAAATTACGATTAGATAGCTATTTTGAAATCAGACCCAATTTAATAAAATGACTCCAGATGGTGACTCGACATATGTGTAGATAACAGATCGTAATGTAATACAGATCAGTAATTACAGATGGTGACTCGAATGTTGAAAATGTGTTTATCTTTTTTATTTATGAGCAAATTTTCTCAATTTTTCGTGTTATTAGAAAGAAAAAAGTAAACACTATGTAATTAAACTAATAAAATGCTGAAAATATTTGTAGAATTTTTTTAAAGGTTTTATTGAAATAATTTTTGGAGCAAATTTTAAGAATTTCTTTTCAGGAAGTAGCAATTTTCATCACTTCAGTTTTTTTATTTATTGTAATGTTAAGTGTATTATTTTTAATGTAAGAAAATTCAAGAGTGTTTTTTGTCTTTGGACAGTAAAAGAATAAAAATTGGATTTTAGCTAAAATAATTCAAGATTTTTTTTAAAGCACAAAAGCAAAGCTTCTTAACTTCACGGTTTTCTTTATTTGGTAAGTAAAAAAATAAAAAGTTGTTTTCAGAAGAAAAAAAAATTATAGCACACTTGACCTAATTTTTTTTTCTCAAAATTTTAAATGTGATATTTTTCAATATAAAAAAATGAAATGAAATTTTTTTTTTAATTACGTCCATCATTTGCTCTCTGGAGCATGAGAAGTCTTGCAGTCCAATATAACAGAGAAATATCTCCAAGGGCGGAGAGCGTCTTGAAACTAGAAGAAAGAAAGGAAAACTAAGAGGGGTAACTCTAAGAAAAATCATAGTGAACGAATTCTTTCTTCAAATTAAATTGACTTAAATTTTTAGTTTAAAGCTATGAAAAGGTTTTTTTCTATAAATTTTTTTGTTAAAAGTACAAGGAAGAATTTTTCATATTTTTCTGTAATTCTTTTGTTAAGTGGTCTAAACAATAAAGTTTTTTATGTCATAAATGTTTGAATTTCAATGCCAATTTCCAAATACTAATTCATGTACAGTGGAACACCAATTTTACACTTTCCGTTGCACTAGAGTTGAATAGCGTACAAAGCCAGATAATGTAATGTTAAGGTAAAAAAATATACACATACTTTTAAAAAAATTCTGATTTACGAGGTAAACTACTAGAAAAAATGTGTAATCTTTACACGTTTTTTGTTTCTAGATACGATTTTGACAATATCTCTCTTGATATTTGCTATTGTTTGCAAATTTGCTTTATGGCAAATGTATCAGAGTTTTTAATGCTTTCAAACTCTTGATCAGTTGTTGGCTATCATCGGAGAAAGATCCTTAGAGTTCCTAAGCACTGAAATATTTGATGTTTTTTTAAATGTAATAAAAAATATCAGCACGAGTATAAAAAAAATATTTTTTTAATAAAACTAAAGTAAGTTTGCACATATGAATTTATAAGCTGCCAAATTAAATGCTTTTTGCAAAGAATTTATAATGTTAATCGAAATTTTTCAATTAACTCTTAGAAGAGGTTTCAATGAAAACCACATATTTTGTGATTTTAGAGCCAAACTAAAATAATTTTGTCAATTCCGGTGTTTTATTATTTAAAAAAATTTCATGATGGCTATTTTTTCCCTTCTATAAAATCTAACAAATTTTTTTATTCAAACTTTCCGGCTGTTCCATAATGTTTCTAATATACTTTTTTAATTTTTTTCTAAAAATTAAGTAAAAAAATTTTTTTTTGTAGTTCTTTTATTCATGTAAAAAATTTATCGAACTTTAGCAAATTTTTATAGAAAATAAAAAAATATACAAAAGTTCAATACAGTATAAAGAACATAATTTTAATAATTAATAAAAATAACAAATAATTTTCTTATCTCTGCAAATGTTGGGAAACCTGAGACAATTCTTTATGAATTTATAAAAGTTTTCTTATTACCTACAGGATTTATTAATATTATTATTAACTAAATTAACTCACTTTCTTGTTTGTAATGATAGTTACTTGTGATTGAATTTTCTATTACTTTCCGACTAGCTAGATTATTTTTACTTGAGCTCTGTGCTTATTAACCTAACAAGTGCATTCATTTCTTGACCACTATGAATCAAATTCATTACGCTTTTATCGGTAAATAAAACGTTTCACTAGATATATATCTTAATCACTTTCTAGCTAGCTAAAGTTCTCCAATTGGAAACATTATTTTATTGAGAAAATAAGTAATTTTATAATTTTTCATCGAAAATTACATACTAAAAAATTCAATACCTTTCAATTCAAATTATCTTCATTAAATTACATAAATAGCAGTTATTATTTTACATGGATTTATATTCGGATAGATGACTTCTATAATTTTGTTCAAAAACTTTTCAAATAGCTAATTAAGTTCTTGAGATATCGGAAAATAAGCGAAAAGGGAAATGAACATGAAGGGATACAAACTTTTAACTGCTCTCCTGGTATTATATTTTATAGATTCCCCCTATTCTTATATACCCTGTCCCTTCCATGTTTTGAGGGTCAGAATTCCAAATCTCTTGAAAAATATGTTTATTCTGAATAAGTGCTTTCATAACTTAATGTCAGCTGCATTAATTGATTAACATATTTCTGGTTGAAGCTAAAGCATTCAAGATATTAGGATTGAGCCTGTGAAAATCAGATCATTAGATTAGATCTAAAGTTTTTCGGGGCGTTACTTTTTTTTTTTTTTGCACACAGTATGTTCAATTCAGTCATTTTAACATAAGATGAAGTAGAACATCCGACAAATTATTCATAGAATCTCTGGAGGATTCTTGCCTCATTGCATTATTAAAACTTAAAAAAGGTGAATAATTTTAAAATCAAATCAAGTCTTCTTGAACATGAAATAAACAAAACATGCACTGAGTCAAGATAGAGTAGCATTGTTTCAATCTCTTTTTAAGTAATAAATGTTCAATTTTCTTGTGTATGTGGAAAATTAGTAACTAATGTAGTTCTCTCCTAATAATGTAATTGCATGCATGATGATAAATCTCCTAATCATCTAATTGATTTAAAAGAATATGTCAATCAAGGCACCTCTCTTTCATTAGACCTCCTACTTTTCTGTAACACAAATCGCCACCAAGTAGGAGAATTTTAAAGTATCTTATTAAATAGTATTTTTCGTTGAAAAAGGGCAAAATCATACGGGCAATTATCAGTCACGAAGATGAAGATGTTTAAGGCTTCGAGTAAGATCTGGGAAAAGAGTCTTTGACACAACAGTGTAGTAAATCAATTTGTTACACTTGTTTACTCAAAGTTTTTTCCCTGCTCTAGTTTTGTATTTCAGCTATCAACTGACGTTTCATATATGCTATCGACTATGTAGGTGATTGGTTAGGAAAAAGCTTGGGTTGTTTTGAGAGGGGATACTGCCAATGCGCAATTTTCTTTTTCTTTTCAGTGGAATTGCATATGACACAATAACATGATAGCAATGACAATCTGCACAATAGCAATGACACATATAACACATTAGTAATTTAGTTTAAATCATGATCTTGTGTAAGAGCTTATGATCAAACTAAAATGTGTAAAAGAAAATATTTCTAGAAAATTTTTTTTTTATTGGCTCTTTGTGGTCCCCCCTAACCTCTAGGGCCCTACGCAAGTGCTTAGTATGCTTAATGGTTAATCCGACTCTGATTGGAGCAGACATTAAATCAGGTATTGAAGAAATTGAAAAGTAATGGAATGTGTGTGGCTGTTGATATATGTGTCATCAGCTTCGGAAGATCCTCGGCTGTGCAATTTTATTCGGAATGGCCAAGGTTCCCGTAGAATACTGAGACGCTATTAACCCCGAAGAGTTTTGTTAAGTCCATTTATAATGTATTTTAGTCAACATTGTAGAAATCAAATTCAAAGCTACCATAACATTTATTTTTGCTTTAGAAGCATCTTGCAGGTCACTGGAGTCAAGAAAACAAATTGATTAACTAAAATTTACACTAAATAACTTGACCAGTTATTTAGTGTAAACTTTTTTTGAATAGTTGGGAAATTCCAAGATTCAAATGCTGAAGCTTGCTAGGAAAATTCCACTTTCAAATTTTATAATTTAAGCACCCATAATTCCTTTAACCACCTTTCCTGTTCATTATCCATCCCATCATGTTTCTGATATTATCTCATGGGGAAATTCCCTCTAATAGACGAAAAAGAAATAAGATAGAATAGAAAGAATGTCAGAAAAGCTAATTAACAAGTCTCTTTAAAAAATGTGTGCAAACAAAAATGATTTTGATCTGTTAGAAAAATGCACAAGACAGGATTTTCTCAAATGGGTGTTATGAAATCGAGGTAATTTGAACAGTATCGATGTAGGCAATTTTAACAGATCAGCAGACCATAGTTTTCCTTGTATATTTTTCTACACACCTTTGTAGTTTAAATTTTCTAAATCATAATTTTTACGAAAAAAAATGTAACATAAAGCAAGAAAGAAAAATATGTGAAAAAAATTTCCAAAAAACACTTAAAATTGCAATAACTTTTAAACAAATTAGAATTTCAAGAAAAGCTTCTGTAATTTCATTAACCAACGTGGTTCTTTCAGCATGTTAAATTTGAAGTCTGTTGTTGCATTCCTGTGTCCTTCAAGGTAGCCTGCATGTTGTTTTATGCTGCAAGCTTAACGTTTAATAATCTTTGATTTAATTATCAATATATTAAATTTTACTCTCTGTACATTTTTCTACACATCTTCATAATTTAAGTCTTATATTTTTCACACTGTAAAAGAAAATTTAGCGTTAAGTTGAACATCCTTTCCTTTTCTTTAGATTTTTTATTATGGAGCAATTAATATTACATGGCTGAAATCCCACTCAATCTATACAAATGATTGAGTCTACACTTTGTGTGTGTCTCACTGTAAGTAAATGGTGATTCGCTGCTAAGTCTCATAGTTTTAACACAGCGAAACTAAAAGTAACATTAAGTTGGGCACCCAAAGCAGTAGAGGCTATTTTTATGATTTTTTAATATAAAGAGGCATAAATAAAGTTTTTTTATAATTTTCAATGTACAAAAATCAAGAGGATGTTTTTTTTATTTGATTGAAATAAGAAAATTTTTGTATTAATCTTAAAATTTTAAATATTTGGGCTGAAAACCTCTTTTTATTTTTTTTTATGACCTTAAAAAACTTTTTTGAGTTTTTTATACTGAAAAGTATAACATTTAAAAAAAATTTTAAAAATGAGGTCAAGTAACTTTATTTTTGTGCCATAGAAGAAAAAAAATCTTGCAGTGTTTAGGCTAAGAACCACTTTTTTCCCCATTATTACCTGTCATACAAGGTCACTATTACCTGTCAATCAGAAGTGAAATAACCTTGTGCTCTTGTTAATCCTTTTTACATAATGTCTAAACGTAATTTTTTCTTTTACCTGAGGTATTTTATTCTTTTAAAATTAATTATGCAATTTCTTTACTGGTGAATTGGGCTCTAAATTTTCTCTTATAAATTTTTTCCTTAACTAATCCTAATAGTTTTATAAAATTTCATTATTTTCTTTCTTTAAGTATGTCTGCTAAAAATTTAAAAATATATTTTTATTTTGAGTGATTAATAAGTAAATAAACCAAATAGATTTTTAAAAAAATACTTTAATTTAAAGCTGCTTTGCTAGACAAAAAAAAGAACATCTTCTCATTAATCTTAACATTTAGATAGACAGTATATTCATTATTAATGTTGCAACTAATTAAATTTTTATAATTGCCTAGTGAAAAAGAAAGAAAAAACTTGCATATATTCAATTATACTTCAAAATATGAGTAAATATTGCAGGATGGATGTTTGTTATTAAGAGTTTAACATAATTTTTTATGCCTGACTTCTCCATGTGTTGAATAAAGTTATTTATTTTTAAAAATGTTTAGAAATGTTTGAAATATTTATATTTTACTGCCCTTATTGAAAGTACAAGATTTTGTTTATTTACTTAAATTGATTTATTATTTTTAGCCTGAAATTAAATCTGAAGACTTTCCAAAGCCTATCATAAATGAATCCTTTTTTGAAGAAATTAAGCAGCTTGGTATAGACCATTCTTTAGATCCACAGGACAGACTCTTTAGAGCTCATGGTAATGTTCAATAATCATATGGATTTTAGTTAATGGCAAATATAATTAAAAAATTCTAATGATTATTTGCATGATTTAGGTCATACAATGCGAGAAATATTCATTTTGCGGCATGGAATCTTTGAGAGAATACCTGATATTGTACTTTGGCCAAGTAAGTACATTCCACAGTTTAAATATATAATCGCATACGGGAGGTAGTAGAGATGTAAAACTTGCATACAATAAAAAAAAATGTGGTTTAAAAATTTTAAAAAAAAATTTAGTTTGTGCTAAGAATAAGAGTTTTTCGTGTTGAGCAAAAACTTATTTTTTATTTCCAATGGCAGGGAATACAAACAATAACACAGAGGAGCAATAAAAATAGAAAATAACAAAAGACCAAAGTCATCTTCCCAAAAGCTCTCTCGCACACCAATATCTTGCGGTCTCCGATTCAAGAACCGTGGAACCTCCTACAGCAATGGAGGTGCTCTCTATTCATTGGTGCTCCAGAACCACACAGTTGACACTGAGGGTGGTCATAAATACCTATACAATGCAGGTGTTCTCCCAGACAATCAATTGCAATATATTCAGTTGCACTTCCTTCATACATCAGCTCTACTTCCTTCCACTTCCTAATCATATTTAGCAAAAACTAAATATAATTATTTTTTCCCTTTAAAATACAGTTAAAAAGGTTTTCATTTGGACTATTCATATATGGAAGTGTCGATAAACATTGCTTTTAATTTTTCAATTAATGTAGTAGCGAAATTAATTATACTGCAAATAAAAACTTTTATTGTAAAAAATATTTCTCAGATGTATATAAAACCAACACAATATTCTCATAGTCTTCTTATCACTCTATTTATGTACTTTTTAACTTAGTTTTTTTCTCTGATTTTTATAAACATTTTATTTAGGATGTCATGATGATGTTTTAAGCATTGTCCAGGCTGCAACTGAATGTAACGTTGTGATCATCCCTTTTGGTGGTAAGCACCTTCTAAGTTTTGTAAGAATATAATTCTTTATTTAGGTATAATGCTAATGTTAACACATTCTCCAATGACATAAAAATATGTTATTTTCTTGACTTCCTGTAAAATTCTGATAAATAAGTTTTAAGAATTCATTGTATGTTTAAATTATAATTTGATCATATTTTTTATTAATCAAACTTTATTTGATTAAATATAAATTCAATTAATTGTGGTTTAAAAACTATTATCAAAGGACTTCACTTCAAATTTCATAACAAACATTAAAGAAGAGACTGCATTAATCAAGACATTAACAATCATTATTAGAGTTTTTTTCCCCTTAAATTCTAATTATCCATAATAAATTTCCCTTCTAATCATTATTAAGGATGGAAAAAACACATCACTCTGACTTTAAATACATAATTACTTCTTAAATATTTAACTATGGTCTTTTACAAATTATTAAAAGATAGTTTTTTATTATTAGAAAATTTGTATTTTTCTGTTAATATGCTAGCATTCAGGGGGTTCTCTAAATTTTAAAACTGGCAGATTTTAGTGATACATAATTTTGAAAATATTTAATGAAATACCCATAGATAAAGCTCATTATAAACTTTGGATCTTTGCTTTTAAAATGATGTATGTTAAAAAATCTAAATATTTTCAATGATAACTTTATTTCTATGACTTTAAACTGCTTGATCATAGTTATTCTACAGTACAGAACTCGTTATCCGGAAATCAGAAAACCAAAAAACCGGAACGAAATTCGATTAGTTTTCCCGCCATTTTTAAAAAAAATTATTTTTTTTCCTCATAAGATTTTAGGATTTTTCGTTCTTTTTTGAAAGATGTTTACCTTTCCATCATTTTGGAAATAATCATTAGTGTATTACTTCATCGTTTTTTCTTCTTTTTCAGATTATTTCCAATTTTTTTTTTTAGTTGGGTTTAACTATTAAAAAAAAAAACGGCTTTTTGTAGCGATTCAGAAAACCGGAAAAATCAGTTATCCGGAATATCGATGTTCCCGATCGTTCCGGATAATCGGTTCCCTACTGTACATATTTGCATATTCATTGGAAATTATATTTAAATTTCACAATCGTGAGTGATGTATGTGAAAAAATTGCTTGAAATCAATTATTCAACATATATCATTCAAAATTGTGATGTTTAAATATGATTTAATGATTAATTTGCAACAATGAATTAAAGATGAATAATTTTTCATTACAAAAAGTGTGCGTTAAATAAACAATGATTCACCATAAGTAACTTTTCATATTACAGTTGAATTTGAATATATTTAATTGCAATTTGTGTTACTCCAGAATTTACCTAAAATATATGTCATATCTTAAATAAATCATCAAATGATAATTTATAAGCTTATGTATAGCTTTTGATAATTTATAACATGACATGAAAATGTACTTTCTTTTAATAGTTTTGTTTTAATAGTTTGTACTTTCTTTTGTTCTCGTTACAATTTCGAAAATATAATCACAATACTTTGGTGAAAGCTACATGATTTTAAATGCATAAATCTAAAGTTTATATGGTTGGTCCTTAGAGAATTAAATTTAAAAAAAATCTATTTAACTGATATTTTTTATTTTTCAAATTTTTGATTTTGCCATTTAAAACCAGTACATTGTCTGTTTTCTATATCTGACAACTTATACTTTTTAAAAAAAAAAGAAAATCAAACCAAATAATAAAAAAAGGAAATATTTTGTATGAAATAATTTTTACCAATTAAATTTTACAATTGTCTGCAAAAAAGGATTTAATTTGAGCATTTGCCAAAGACAAGAGGTAACACAATATCATAGCTGCCATCTCTACTGGATTTTGCCAATTTCAACTGGTTAAATAAAAATTCTCCTAGTTTTTGTACATTTTAAAAAATTCCCTAAAATTGAGTAAGTTTCCTAAAAAATTCCCATTGAAATTGATTTTTTCCACAGATTATTACTTGCTTGAATATTTAAATAAATATTACTAATACTTAATGACGTGAGATTCAATTATTGAAATCAGTTTAAAACTTCTTTTGTCCTAAAATGTTCAGTTTATTTTTATTCAGAACTCCCTTTTTAAATTATTTAAAAAATCTTTTAACTGTATCTTTGATAAATTAAATGTCTATTTTTATTCAAAATTATGAGTCAACATAATACATAACATTTCAAGTATCTATCATAACTGGAAAATATTGCAATTTTTTTATTTTGATGACTAAAATTTCATATGTGTAAAATATTATTGTCCCACATTAATATATTAATAATAATGTGGGACATTATGCAATGTTCCACATTGGACTGATCGTTAAGACACTGTTCCCAGTAAAACACCGAAGTCAAGTATCACAGGCAGTGGTTAGTGTGCACATGGGTAACCACTTTGATCAGCTACGGGTGAGCGATATCAGTCCTCGTTAAACTGTTCTATTGTAAAGTGCTCAACTTCCCAAGCAGATCGTTGGGTTGAAGCAGGGATGTCTTCCCCTTGGCAGAATTCTGATGGCATTTCTTCAGATCATCACCAGGGATGTTTCCCAGACCTACGGCAATGGCCTATTGTGTAGGCGTAGTAAACAACTGCGAGTTTATTAAATCTGCAACAACTCTAGTGCAACGTAAATAAGCAACTACAACTACAAACTACATTATGCAACAATTACAATAAAAAAAATTTCATTTCATAAAATCTACTAGATTTTTTCGTATCCATGTTGGTAGGTATGCAATGTTTAAAAATATTAAAGCAAAATCTAATTCATTTTTTCAAAAGTTAAAAAGTGTGATTTTCTTTTATAATTTGCTGACTGTAATCTGATTTTATCCATTTAAGATTTATTTTCTTTATTTAATAAATTTTTTTTTTCAAATTGAAGGTGAATTAAATTCCTTTTCAATGTGTATTTTTTTCAATGTGAATTAAATTCCTTTTTTTACCCTCAAGGTTTCAACGCAATTCTCCAGCAATTTTTTGATAATAGTTTATAATTCATTTTTAATTATGCTTCTGTGTTTGTATTTATAGTTAGGTTTTCGTTTTTTATAGTGCACAACACTAATTATTGCTTCCTTAGGTGGCACTAGTGTCTCCTGTGGGGTGGAATGCCCTTCTGAAGAGAAACGGATGATTGTGTCCTTGGATACTTCCCAAATGGTACATCTTTACTTTGCTTTTTAAAAAATTTATTTAACAATGAAAGTGAGCACAATCTAAAAAATATACTGCAATTATGAATTTTATTATATATAGGAGTGAATTTTAACAAACAATTTTTTAATGTTTTTTTATGATGGATTGTCCTTAAATGTTTTATGGATTTTACCTCCAAACATACAATTACAAAAAACCTTTAAGAGCTGAGAACGAAATTGCACTTTCTTGATTTTTTAAATGTTTTATTTTTTGGTGCTTTTTTAGAAAAAAAAAATTTTTTTGCACAATTTCTTACTTTCTTCATGAAGAATGCAAATAATACAATAAGAGTTGTTTTCTTTTCTTATTTCTTTCTTTCTTTATTTTGAATTTAATAAAAAAAAACTAGTTTTCTTTTTTTTTTCTTTTGCAAATGGATGAAATTTGATATGACTCTAATTAATGAGAGAAATCTCTGTGTAATGTATTTCTTGATAGTTATACAAATTGGAAGTTAGAATTTAATAAAATTTAAAGCACTTGTAAATTGCTTTTTTCAATATTATAAAACAATACTTGTAATTGTCTTACACACAATATGCTAAATCATATGAATTATTCCTAAAGAATACACACATTTATTTGTGTTTTCAAGTATTTTATTTGCATGTCAGAAAAATTTTTATAAAAAGAATAATTTTTAAAAATCTAAATGAGATTTTCCTTAATTACTAATAAAATTCATAAAAGTTCTGTGTATTAAAATTTTTTATGTATGTTTTATTTCGATTTACATTTTAGTTTTATATTTTACTTTTTAAATTTTTTTTATACTTATGTAACATGCATAAATATTAATAATAAATATCCTACATTTTTGTAATATTAGAATAGAATATTATGGGTGAATCGAGAAAATAACACAGTACTTGTGGAGGCTGGTATCATTGGCCAAGACTTAGAAAGAGAGGTGTGTTCTTCTTATAATATTTTATGTATTTTTCATTTCGTACAAATGTCTTGTATGTATTTTACTATGTATACAAATAATACAATAACATATAAAATTGTTATAGGTATTTTAAAATTCGAGCATAACCTAGAAAATTCTGGTACTTTTTGGTTAGCCAAACACAAAGAAATTCCATTATTATTATTTTTTAAATTTTTATGTGTTTAAGAAAATAAAATATAAAAGCTGACTGAGGTTAAAATCTTTTGGAGACTTTTCACTTAAACCCAACTGATCGAAAAGTACCTACATTCTTTTAAAAAGTGACCACAATTCTGTTTTTAAAATTGAAAGAAATTTTTGCTTTTAACTTACATTTTACTTTTGAACTAACAGTCTGAAAATTAATTTTAACATCTAATTATGTTTCTTGAAATATGTCGAATTTTTTTATTATTACAAGTACTTAATTTGATTAATTAGGGAGGGGCAGAATATTTAAAATCCCTTGTTATGTTGAATTGAAAAGTTGTAGAAATATTTATGCTTTATTTGTAAATGCATATCCTTTCCCTAATTTATTTAATATATAGTGGTATATAGGTAAATATATATTAATGTTATAATATTTCTTAAAAACAAACAAAATATTAAAGTATGGATTATTGGTTGAATACTATTATAGTAAAAGGTTTTTTAAAAAAAGTGGCCTAAGTCTTGAACCCCTGTTACCCTCCTGTGGAACTCTGGGACCAAAGCCATGAACAGTTTTAATATAATTTAATATAACAGTTGAAATTTTTAAAACCTAAACATTCTTACATTAATGTAGCAAAGATTGCCATCAATCTACTTTAATTAAATAATACAGTGAAACCTGCTAAATTTATCCCTATTTTAAAATTAACCAAAACTCTTTTCTGAGTTGAGGATATGGGAAATAACTAAAGACTTTTGTAACAAATAGGTTTGCAAGTATTACTAAATAAACTTTAAAATATTGAAAACACATTATATTAAGTTTTCCTATTGCATATATGTTATTTATAGTTATTTTTTTAAAAAAATATTTATTATGAACACTGGCATGTATAACTATCTTAATAAGCATGTCTGTTTTTTAACTAATCAGTTTTTAAATTTGCGTTGAAAATTGAAATTCATTCTGTTAATTTCAATTTTTAAGACATATGTAGTATTTGTCCTATAAAATCTTTAAATCATGTTAAAAATCTTAATTAAATTTATTTTCATTTCAATCGGTAATATACAAGAAGTATGTGAATAGCTTGAATTATTAAAAAAAATATATAAGAAGTAATAATAAAAAAGCATCGATGGAGGAAGATAAAGAGAAGGAAAGTTTTAAGTAATCCACAAAAATAAGAATGGCTTATTACTATTAATTATTTTTTAGGTTGGCCTCTATATGGGTTTTGAATTTCGTGTTAAATTTCAATGAAAAGCATATATATAGGGGCTCTTATTTGGAAGTATACAGTGATGGGTTTTTATTTGAAAATATAAATATGTTGCTAATTTCATAATAAAGGCAAAAGGTGCTTTTGTTATGAAATTTATGAGATGATTGATTTATTTGAAATAATAGTCACATCTTCGACTCCTTTCTGAACAGCAAAACAATGCCCATATGTTTTTGAAAAATTTTAAAACTGTTCTTGGATCAAAGACTTAAAATTAACAAATATTAAAATCAATTTATAATATTATATATTAAAATCAATTTATAAAAATAAGGGATCAACCAAACATTTGCTACAGATTTCTTATACAAAATGAAAACCACTATCAACTTCCAAGCATACCCAGTTTAATTGCATGCAATTTTGATTTTTAAGCTAGTTACTTGTTTTCAATTACGTATTAAAATCTTTAGAGTCTGTACCCAATTCTCCGGAAATTTTTTGGAATCATTGCTCTTACGCACATTAATATGTATATGTATACAGTAAAAACTTTATAATACTCTGTGCATATTACGTGAAGTCCACTATTACGACAAATTTCCAAGTCACAGTCAAGTTCTTATATAAAAAATACAAAATTGTTACTTTATAATTTTAAAAATTATTAGCCTTCTGTTAATACAACAACAAAAAATTAGGCAAATTTTTTTTGCCGTTAAAGGGAACCTTTTTATACTAAACAGGTTTAAAAGAGATTTATTTCTGGTATCAATGCAGGAAAGCAAAAAAATTAAATAAAAAAGTAGCATAATATCCTTATTACAATTTTAATTCCTTACATTTATAAAGTAGTGTATGGGCGACCCTCGGCTAAGTCCTAACAAAAGAAAACTTTGTCCTTTATTTTTAGTAATCCTGTTGCACACTTCAAGAAGATTATGCCCTTTGTTGACAAAGTTTTAAACATGCCCCTTGTTTCTTTTCTGACTTCTTACTATTGAAATCATTCACTGTTATTTACGGCATCAAGAAGTATTGCAATTTATATCATTTTATTCTTTCAAAAACTTATCATGATTTGGAAACTTATTATTCAAACATCCTTGTCATAGACATTTCTGCCATTCATAAAGTATAGAACAATGTAATTCAGTCAGTAATCTAAAGGCAAAAACAGTTTACTCTAGATTTTTTTTTTTTTTAAATTTGAAATAGTTGTTCATAATAAAGTAGATAAACATGTCTGTTACATTTTTAGTCTTTTTATTACAATTTTAAAGTTAAATATGCTTATAATGACAACTTGGATATAAAGACAATTTAATCTGATACTATGAATTGTCGTTATAATGGACTTCTACTGTATATAATTTCCGTCCTATTTATTTTAACTTACAATTTTAATTAATTTGAACAGAGCGTAGTCAAAATGAGTTAAGATTTGCAGTTAAGATGGTCACTTTCTCACTTTTTCTTACATTACTTAAATTATTTTTAATATTTCTGAAGAAAATATAAATTTAACATTGGCTATTTTGCATCAAGTAAACTAATTATAAGATTCATCTTCACCTTACTATTTTCAAAATATATTAAACTAAGTCATTCAAAGTTTCAGGTTTAGAATCTAAAAAATTTAATGATAAGGAGACAAATTAAATGTTTTATTTCACACTTGTGTTGGACTTCTTCTTAAAGTTGGCAACCCCACAGTATGTTTTTATTAGTCTATAAGTGCAGTTTGTGTTTTTAAATCTGAAACTTTGCACACCTCTTGCTATCTCTATGTTAAATTTAAGCAAAATTTACTTTCTTGTGGTAGAAACTATCTAGTTGATATATTATTTTACTATACTTTTATCATGAAATGCTTTTCCAGTTTATTATTATTTTTACTTTTAGTTACTGAAATATGACTTGTGCACTGGCCATGAACCAGATTCATATGAATTCAGTTCCCTTGGTGGCTGGGTTTCTACAAGGGCTTCTGGTATGAAAAAAAATATCTATGGTAATATTGAAGATATGGTTGTTCATGTGAAAATGGTTACACCACAAGGTGAAATACAAAAAAATTGTCAAGTAAGCGCAAATTGCTTCTTAGTGCTTTATATCAGGGTCATTTCACAATGTTCATAGGTTACATGCACATTTCAGAGCTAAAATTTTTATATGTGGAATGTATATGTTTTTTCTTTTTTTCGTTATTAAAATACAAAATAAAATAATTTGTGGATTCTGCACGATTATTCTGAAATTTATTTTTCAAGTGACTTTATTTTTTATCTCATAATGGAAAAAAGTTTTGCTGCTTATAGAACTGCTAGAAAAACTTCTAAGGTAATTGTTTAATTATATCATTAAAATCCATGAAAACTAAACATTTGTACTTCATTCAGTATATTTCATAAGCAAATTTTTAAACTGCATTCAGAAATGTTAAATTTTTTTCTGTATCCTTCTTTACTGCATTTATGTAAAAAAGTTTTCATTGAATTAATTGTTTTTTTTTCTTCCTTTAAATAATTCTGTGATTAAGTTTTAATGTCCAGGGCAAGAAAAGTGTTGTGGTATTAAAATTTTAAAATTTCAAATTAGATTTTTAATTTTCTTTTTGAATCAAAGTCATAAGAGTTCGTTTTTTTAAATGTTTTCATGATTAAGATTTTTGTAAAAATTCTCCTTTTAGGGATGTAAACAGTTAAATTAATTTAGTTCATTTATAATCCTGACTTTTAGAATTATTTTATTATGGTGGATTTAATCTTTGGTTAGCACTGTTTGAGGCAAGATTTGTTTCCTCATGCTGAAGGCTGTGTGTCTTATCGAACTGCTCTTTCTCTCACTGCACCATAGTAGTTTAAAAAAGTCAATGTTAATTGAGCAACATGGTGTGAATGCTTGATAATTATTACCTACATCTGCCTATCAATCTAAATTGTTGTAGTGTGGTGCCAGTACAGTATGGTACCAGTATAGTCTTCACTTAATAATTGAGGATGAATCCCAGATCTTTGCTAATTTTCTTATAACTCTAATGCAAACAGTATTGCTCTTTTAACAACATAACTAAAGAACACTTTTTTCAATGCTTAAAAACGTTTAACACTTATTTTATTTTAAATTAAAATGTTATTAAATAAATTATTATGTTTTGTTAGTACATGGCTATTTTTTAATTTTACAATGAAATACTGCAAATTTATTTCCTTAAATTAAAAAGATATTTCATATTGAACACAGACCTCTTTTCCCTCCTCTTTTTCTTCATATTAAGTTGTGTATTTTAAATTTTCTTTAATTGTTTTAAATTTTCTTTAATTTAAAATTTTCCGTTTTTCTACTGAAAGTTCAATTTACAAACATATTTGCTAACATGGAAATTCAAATTATTGAGTAACTAATTATTAGTCAAGCATTAGTTTTCGCATTAAGCAATGCTTTTGTTAATTGGGTTAAAATAATTTCATAAATAATTTCAGACAAAAAAAAAAATGGAAACAAATTAAACAATTTTCAACTAATTATTATTTTACGTACTATAATTATAAAAACAAAATATATTATTCCAGTCTAAAGATTTAAATTAATTATTTTTTCTGCTAATACTATTGCTCTCACTATTGATGACTGTTCATATTCTTGAATTAAAAAAATTTGAATTCATGAATGAGGTTCATATATTCATTTTAATACCTTTCTAAATCCTTTATTTCTGAAGTTTCTATATCAACCCATGATTAAGTAAAATATAATAAAAAGAACCTTGTTTTAGTCATAGGGCCCTAGTAATTGAGCCGTTCTGAAAGTAATCTAATTTTTCCGAATTTTTTTATTAATTTTTTTCCCCAACAGTGAATTTTATTATATATTTTTTCACTGCCCATTTCACCCTTAAGCCGTATTATTAGATAATATTTTGACAGCTGATATAGTAAGACTTGATAGTGATTCTCTGCAGTAGTTTTTGGTTTTGTGCTCTTTCAAATATGAAAAATCAAAAGCCAACTTTTCGGCATATTTCACTTCTTTGCTATCAAAAAGTTAAAAATGCTGTTCAAGCAGGGAAAAAATAATCAGATGTATGCAGATAAAATGCATTGGTAGAACGCCAGTGCAAAAATTTTTTTGCAAAATTTGAATTAAGATGCATGATTCACCATGTCCATTTAATCTTATGAAGACATAATAAGAGAATTAAATGCAAGCCAGTAAATAGCAACTCCTGAAATCACTGAGACATTAAGTTTATCGAGTTTGAACATCCATGATAATTTTAAAAGTTTAAGGTATAATTTCAAAGCTCGACATATAGATTTCACATGTTCTTATGGGATGAAAGTTATAATGTTAACATCACATTGATGCCTGTGATTTGCTTCTCAAATGTCAAGAAAATCATCCATTTTTGAAGCGCATCATCACCGGGAATAAGAAATGGATTGTCTACGACTATGTTCTGGTCTGTACAAAATTCTTTAGATCGTAGCATCTTTACTTCAAATAAGGAGGACAAAAATCACTTTGTGTTTTTCGCCAGAAAAGAACAAACATTTTAACTATTTTTTCATTATAAGAAAATTTACTTTCATTCTCAGTAAAAAAAAAAGAAAGCGAAATTATTTTTTAAACAACCTAATACAGAACCAATAAAAAATGTTCTTTCCTGGATGTAATAGTATTACGGAATTTAAAGATGCAGAATTTAAAGATCTGTAACTTGCAAGTAAAACTAGGCAAGTGCTTTGTGTGCTGCTAAATTCAGTAGACTGTAAAAGAGCTTTATCTTGCTATAGCCAATTTTTTACGAAATAAAGACAATTGTCCTTGCTTCACTTCAGCATCTAGGCTCACTACAATAAAATTTTACAACCATTATGTTAGAATAACCAATATTGTTTTTTTTTTTTTAAGCCAGGATATGGTGTAACCTGGTTAAAATCTTTTTTATAACAATTGAAAATTTTTTATTAAAAAAGAAAACATATTATACTTTTTTTCTAGGTTCTGTGCAATTTATTTGCATAATTTTAAAAAAATTCTGCCTCTTTATTGCATAATTTAAGAAATACTTCTACATTATTTATAGGGTACCTATTGTTTATATCCATGCATACACAGAATGTCAATTTCCAAAACTTTGTATCTGGTTTTTAGTAATAATTCTATTTCTATATCACTATCTTTTAATTTGTGTCCATAATTTATATTTCAGGTGCCTAGAATATCTAGTGGTCCTGACATCCATCAATTCATTCTTGGATCTGAAGGTGAGATATGAATAGCTGATTAATAATTTTTAGCCGACTGACCTGTGTAGGGGTTAGGGAACTGCCCTTGCATCAGAAAGGTTCTGGGTTCGAATCCCCGCCATGGCATGGATGTTCTTTCCTTCTCTGTACTATCTGTCCTTACTGTGGGAGCAACATATGGTGCCCCTGAAAGAGTGGCCAACAAATTTGCCCTTCAGGTGCCTGTATGATGCCCAGGTGGGTCATTCTAAAAGGTGGGCATTGGAAAGGAAAAAAAAAATAATTTTTCTATGTAACTTTACAAGCTTCTAAAGAAGTTTTGAAAAGTATATTCTTTTTGCCCTTACATGCAATTACAATCATTAAAGTTTTCTACTATTACAATGTATAAAATATGTGAATAAGTAAATCACTAAAAATCTCTTAAATTGTCTTCATAATTTAATGAAACAACAATAATAAATTATTAGCTTTTACCAAAATGTATAATTCATAGAAAATTTTTTTAACATTTATTACTAAAATAAAAGATAAATATATCACTAAATTGTTAAAAGAAATGCTTTTGCTCTAAATGTTCTGTTATTTCATAATTAAATCTTTTGAAGTACAGCTAAATGGAGTACAGCTTCACTTAAGGTGAAAAAACTAAAATGGCTCAAATCTGTAAGTTTCTTTCCACTACAGATTTGTATTGACTGAATTGTATTATTTTTATAAAATATTAGCCATTAAAATAATGCTTTGAAAATAATAAGAGTGTAATGTGTGCCTCTATATTGCAACAGATTTTTTTAAAATTAATATCTTATTGAAGCAGTAAGTATATGAAATAAAATTGTTATATTTTTGTTCCTTTTTTTATTTGTAGGTACTCTTGGTGTTGTTACAGAAGTTGTAATTAGAGTAAGACCACTCCCACCATTTATTAAGTATGGATCTGTCGCTTTTCCATCATTTGAGCCTGGTGTTGACTGTCTAAAAGAAGTTATGCGACAAGTAATTATTCATTTCAAAATAGTTTGTTTAATATCAATTAACCAGGAATTATTTCTTCGATCAGTAAAATTGTTTTAAACGTTTAAATTACAGTGCAATATTTTCTATAACTATAAGAATCATTCTTTTTCAGAACTAACTCAAAATTTTGATTTTTCATTAAAACTTTTAATATTGTTTGGATTTGAAAAACTGTTTCCTTATTTCTATTCCAGTACCAACTCCTCTCCCTAAAAATGTGCTTTATGATTCTAGTGGGATAAAATATTTGGCTCAATTATTTAGCTAGCATTTAAAACTGATTAATTTAGTTTACACTAATAGTTTTTCTGAATTCAGATGTGGTTTAATGATTTTGATTATGGCATGCGGTCAGTTGATATTTCAACTTTATGCATGATACTGTCTGTTAAATTCTTATTTGGTGTATGGTTACCATAAAAAGGTGTTTAATGTTTTATCACCAAAAAGATTATTTAACAGTAGTGCAAAAAGTTATTTTCCAACATTGTTTTTTAACTATTAATCACTATATAATATTTATTATTTTAATTTCATAAATTGTTCAGGCTCAGTTTTATTCAAAATGCATTAAAAGATTAATACAAACTGATCTGTTTTGGTGTTCTTTTAATTTTCCCTACTGAATGAAATCTAAAATACTAAATAACTTTTATTCATTCCAAGCTGCTGACTATTAAATATACTTGTTGGATCTTGTTTGCACTTCGTGTGAATAGTGAGGATTGTCAGTATGATTCATTAGATTCTATTAAAATAGCTGTTTAAATATTATTAGAAAGAATTTCGTACACATAGTTTTTTATAATATTATAACATTATAAAATATCTACTTATTAATATTTCAATACAATATTTTTTAATAAACTATAAGATATATATATATATAGGGAATTATTCAGAATTTTTCCCACCTTTACTGCTTTCCTGCCTGATTAACAGTTAAGCAGGAAAGTACACCAATTTATTTTATAGGAATATAGTTTATGTGAAAATACTGTAAAAATTTTGAGAGAGGTTTAATGTTATTCAGTTTAACAAAATGGTGAGAATGCGGAATTTTAATTCAGTTTTTTTTAACAATACTTAGAAAAAAAAAGGATCCAACTTTAGTTATACAGTCTTACATTAAAACTATACTAAATTTTCTATCCTTATTTCAAATAAAGGGACAAGAATACAATTCTTAAAAAGTTGACTTTTGTGTCCTATGAGTTATTATGAACATCTGCATAGAATTTATGAATGATTTAATGTTTTGTAATTACAGTTGTACGCATAATTTCAAAAGTTAACTTTTGTAGACTATGAAAATGATGTAGACTTGAAAAATGATGTTAATTTGTGCACAATTCTTTTTCAGCAATTGAAACCTGCTTCTATAAGATTAATGGATAATAAGCAATTTCAATTTGGTAAGTTAACTTGTGTTGAATTTTATAGCATTTAATGAAATTAGCAGTGTCAAAATTTATTACTTTATTAAAGTATGGAAATTATGGGTTTAAGAATAAAAAGTTAAAAAAATGTGTATAATTATTTATGTATATTACTATTTATGAAGATGTATTTTTAGGTCATGCCCTGAAACCTGAGTCAGAGTCAATGATTTCTTCACTAGTTGATCACTTTAAAAAAATTTATGTTACCCAAATTAAAGGATTTGATGTTCATAAAATGTGTGTGATGACATTACTTTTAGAAGGAAATAAAGAGGTTAGTACTGTTATTGTTGTGTTATCAAAAAAATTGTAATCTAATAACATTTTCATATTTATTATGGGTATTTTTAGGATGTGGAAGTATTAGAAAGACGAATTTATGATATTGCATCAAGATTTGGGTAAGTATTAATGCTTATAATTTACTTTTACATTTGGTTTTAAAGTTTAATCAGGGTTGCCACAGGCGCAACTAAAATGCAACTATTTTTGGCATGAGGCGATTATGGCAACTTGTTTTGCCTGAGAAGGCTAAAAAAAGCAACTATTTTCAAGACAAGGAGACTATTGGGAGATTTTTCTGTACTCCTAGAGATGTTTTTTTCTTCCAAGCATAAATTGGTGGAAAGTCTGCGCCCCGCTAGATAGTTCCTGAACCCACTGAACTTTTTTTTTCTTAAAAAATAAAAAATTTTAAAAATTTTGAATTGCAAATTAGAGTCTTCACTTTTTAATTCGTTCAATCTGCGCAAACTCCATTGTAAGTCCATTTCATTTCTCGATCACCTTTTCAATGATTATTGCTACAAAAGTCTGCATGATTTTTTTTTTGCTTTAAAAAATAACTTTTTAACGGTATTACAATGCATGAATTTCGAATTTTAGTAATCATTTTTCATAACATTTGTATGCGAATTATCATATTTGCCACCAACTTGACTGAATGGATCATGGTATATGACAATTAAGTCATTAACAAAATTTTAGTCATATTTTTGATGAATTTTTGTTCTTATTAGGCAACTATTTTCCTAGTTTTTGGCTACTATTTTCATGCTTTAGACTACTAAAAGCAACTATTTTGCTCATTTTTTTCTGTGGCAACCCTGTTTAATGTAACAAGTTTTTGCAGTGGTTTTCCAGTAAGTTTGAAACCATTCAAATTTTGCTAAGTTTAGAGAAAAGAAAATGAATTTCTGATAAATAATAAAAAAATTAACTTCATCATTAAGTTGCAGTTTACGATTATCCTAGTATAACGCAAATACAATTCCTGATATTAATTAACTTGGTCTTACCTAATAGCAACTTATTGCCTTAACCTGCCATTGTAGCTAATCATCACTTGTTGCTGGAAATGTTTGGTTTGGCATTATTGGAGATAACACCTTGCAAGATCATAAACTAAGACTAACATATAATGATTTATGTTCCTTTTACCGACATGTTCAAGTGATGTAACTTATAGCTGCTCTCAGAGCCGGATTATACCTTTCGTAGGCCCTAGGCACAGAGCCGGATTATACCTTTCGTGGGCCCTAGGCATAGCCGTTTTTGGGTCCTCCCCTCCTACCCCCACTCCTCCCCTCTTTTCAAAATATATGCTAAAATTTTCTTGCATATTTTTTTTTACATTTTTATTAATATGGATTTTAATTTAAAAATTTGTTTATCGAACCTTATCTGCAGATACCCAGTTAGGTTAAAAAT